CCCCCCCCCTCTCTGTCGACACATGAGGAAGGAAGCAAGCCACCGGCAAGCTACACCAAACCCATTTCTCTGTCTGTCTGTGTGTCTGGGTGTCTGGATGGATGGATGGATGGGTGTGTGCAGACGTGTGACTGTCTACGACGTCCCACGCGGCCCGCGGCCTGTGGTGGGTAACTTGGCAGCGGCAGCGGCAGCGGCAGCGGCAGCGACAGCGCCATGGTGGTCGGTCCTTCTGGCATGGCCATGGCGTGTGTGTGGGTGTGGGTGCGGGTGGAAGTGCTCCCAGAGGGCGAGGCAGTCCTCCAGCACCACACACCCCAATATCACTAACGACGCATCCACACCCGGACCGATACGCACCTGATACACAACATGCGCAGACAGACACGGACACACAGTGGGGCCATAGGTGTATCTATGTGTGTGGATGGATGGATGGATGGCTTGATGCGTACGAGGTAGTGTGTGAGGTCGATATCGTCGCTACGGGCGCTGGCGGCCGGGGGGCTGAAGGTGGCCGGCTCACGCTGCCGCTGCAGGGGCGAACGACTCGTGTGCGCCTGAGTGAGTGAGTCATCGACACACACACACACACACATGCACACACACAGAGAACCGTTGTGGCATTTCGTGTCATACTGTGTCCATGACTCACCAGGACGCGCCGCTGATGGGGGCTGAGCACGCGAATCGTTTGCCTGTCCAATAGATAGACAGATCCATCACACACACACACACACACACCCCACAAAGCCAACACGACAAATGCAATGCTACCCTAATCTGCTCTGCCTGCCTGACCTCTGTCTGTCCATGACAAACGTCAACACGGTCTCCTTGGTGACACCCTCATCCTCCACCGCCCCCTCAGCACCACCACCACCAGCCGTAGGCTCCTCAGCGGCCGTCCACACATACACAGTGCACCGCTGAGACGGACCGTCAACCTGACGACACACACACATGCACACGCGCACACCAGGCTGTCTGTTCCGGTGACGATGCACATCACCTACCTCAGCGGTGCCGTATAGATTGCCCCTGCCATCGAGTATCTTGAGCGGCGGGATGGACGTGGGCGGCTGGGGGTGCAGCCGAGGGGCGAAGGGGGACGGCGGCACGGGCATCAGCGCACCGCTCTCCGTGCTGTAGTCCAGCGGAACAGCCATCGGGGGCGGAGGAGGGGAAGTTCCACCTGCTGCGGCTCCAGCTGCTGGCAGCTGCACCTCCGCCAACCGCTGACCTGCAATACATACACACAGACAGAGAGAGAGAGAAAGAGAGGCTCCCATCTCGCCCACACAAACACCACGCACCCCTCCCCGTCTCTATCTCTGACCTGTTTCCACCGCAACCACCGTCAGCTTGGTCTCCTCAACGCCGTTGCGCGGCTCGAAGGCGTCAATCTGCCCCATGACCTTGACGATCTCCTTTCGGTGGCGGTCGACGATGGTCCGACAGGACGGGCCGGGGGCGGCGGCGGTTGGGGGGGAGGGGACACGCTGGCCGTGTGCTGGAAGGACCCTCTGTGGTGGGATGAGGGGTGAGGTGGGTATCTGCAGGATCAGCTCGTTGCCCGAGGGGATCACCATCTCGTAGCACAGATACTGCAAACAACGTACAGAAGGAAGGAGAGAGAGAGAGGTGGTGGTGGTGGGGCGTGACGGTTGTGTGGCTGACCTGGTCCTCATTCATGCCGTCCTCCCCTTCGTTGACGGACGTCTGGCTGCCGCTGCTCCGCCCACTCCGTGTGGGCCGCTGACGAAGGGTCTCCTCCAGCTGCTCCAGGCTGCCCCTGGTGCCACCACGACCATCCCTCCCCTGCCGCTGCACCATGACCATCCTGTCGTCCTCGTCAGAGTCGCGCGACAAGCGGTCCTCCTCGTCGAACTGGTCGCTCTCGTCGTCGAGCATGAAGTGGCGCCGCTCGTGCCGCTCCTTGAGGTACTCAAAGATGATGTAAAACACTATCACCAGCGCGAAGATGACGAACAAGACGATCGTCGAGAGGGCGAGGGCCCCGCGGAAGGCTGCGTCGGAGGAAGAGGGCACAGCTGGGAACAGACAGACAGACAGACAGACAGAGAGAGTAGGGGGAGGTGTGTTCGAGCATTGCCCATGTTGCCCGGTGCCCACTGATCTCTGTCTTGGTGTCGTTGTCGGCCTTCCCGGCCTGTTGTTGGCTAGCATCGCGCTGCTGTGTGGCGCCCCATCCGAGTGCGGCGCCGAGGTCCTTGAGCGACTTGGCCACGGGGTCGAGCCCATGCATCCCCCTCTCGGCCATCCGCTTCATCCAGCCACCCTCACCACCCTCTTTCTCCTTGTCCTTGTGCTCTCCCTTGCTGGTGTCATTGGCAGCTGCCGTCGGTGCTGCCGTTGTGATGATGGCAGTTGTGTTCTGAGGGGCAGACGAAGTGGATGGGGAGGGGGTAGGTGTGGTTGTCTCGTTGACCGTCAGGGTGGCACGGGACAGGGCAGCATGGGCGACAGGGGGCGATGGGGATATGGCCGTTGGAGGCGCGTTCGTGGGATCCAGCTGATGATCTACTGGCCCTGACGTAACTGTGTTGCTATGCCGCTGAGAGGTGTTGTGGCTCTCATGCGCTGCGATGAAAGACGTGAAGGGCAGCGAAGGCACCCTGCCCGGCTCTACGAGGGGGAGAGCGTGGGTGTGGCTGCCGTGGTGATGATAGCGATAGGACGATACCAGAGGGACACAGGCCACCGACACCAGAAGCATCAGCAGCAACATGGGATGAACCTCTCCAGTACGGTGTCAGTCTGTCGGTCAGGACGGCCGTGGCGGCAGATGATAGATAAGAGGGAGCGTTGAGGGCTGATGGTGATGCCAGACAGGTGAGCCACGGCCGCCTTGACGTCTTGAAGGCGATACACAGGGTCGTTGAGGAGCGTTGATGGATTGCAGGGAGGTAAGAGGGACGCGGGCCTTGGTGTTTGGTGTTTATGAGCTCATCGGCACAGCAGAGGCCGCAAAGGCGTCCAGGCTATCAGGTGCCCATCCTCGATGGCTGAGATCTGACGTGCGGGGCGGAAGTGGCTGACAGCTCAAAAGATGGACGAAATTCCTCGCCGTTTCTTCATGAGGTCAAACAAGAGGCTCTGCTGGTCAACCAGAGTGGCGCCATCTCCTCCTTACGCGGGGGTCACTGCTTCCCGAGTTAAGGTTAGCGTGAAACACTCCTGTAGCTCGCATTCCTCCTCCAGGGAGAGCGACGATGGTTGTAGAACACATTGTTCTGTAAGCGATTGTGACCTCAGATGAGCGTGGAGCACCTGGATCGGATCTATGATTTTCGTGCTCTATCAGGTTCAAGTGGAAGGCTGATGCCCCGGCAGATCTGAAGGCGTCGTTTGCGGCCGACGTGCTGGCGCTGCGGAAATCGATGGCTTTTATTGTAGAGGCCAAGGCGGGAGAAACATTCACGAAAGGTCAACGGCAGCATGCTAGAAAGAGATGCAGGCAGCAACGGGCAGTCAGGCCGGCCGGCGCCCAGACATCTGTGGGCGTGTGTGTGTGTGTTTGGCTGTATGCAGAGAGAAACCAGGGCTATGACCACGTGATAATCATCACCCTGCCCGACAGAGAGCACCTCCCAAAATACGCTACACACGAGAGCCACGTCAGGCCTTTTGACACATACTGGAGGGGCGAAATGATCCGTTTGTTGATATGGTGTATATGTTTGTGTAGGTTGCGTTGCTGGACAAGTACAACCCACACCTGGAGGGCAAGCTGGCCATGGACATCGAGCGGTGATGATACATACCAAAGGCCTGCCTGGCTGGTCGAGAGAGAGAGAGAGAGAGAGAGAGGCGTGAGTGTGTGTGGCTCGGCGTGGCTGCTGTTCGCATGAGTGTCTTCTAAGCTCTTTCGGACACATGTCTGATGGACCTGACTGTCACGATGTACGTACGCTTTATCATATCATTGATTGCATCAAACAACCGTCGGTGTCGATGGATCAGCATCCAGCCGTGTTGTGTGTCGGTCTTCCAATTCACTTGCAAGGCCTGCCTTCCATTCACCCACCTGTTGGTCGGAGCGGCTGCTCTGTGTGTGTGTGTCGCACGCATTAACGAATGACACGTTGTTCAGAAGCCAAGAAACCAAATGTCCGTCCGTCCACTCTGGCCAGTCAGTCACTTCCCGTCTCACGGGAACTCACACACACGGGGACGCCTCCATCCGTCCGTCCGTCCGTCCGTCCGTCCGTCCAAGCTAGCCTGCCTATCTCATTGATTGCATCCCTGCCTGCATGTGATGTAGGTCTTTTCGACTGACTGACTGACTCGCCTGCCAGCCAACAGCATGCCATGCACACACAGACACATGGCATGGATGGATGCAATCAAGGAAGGCCCTCCTGCTAAGCCAACTAGCCAGGCCCTCCTCCCCCTCTTCCCCGGTCGCCTCCTCTATCTCTCCCCCTCCCACCCCCACCCCCACCACGTCCTCTCCCTCCCCTCCGGTGCGGCTGTGGAGACCCCCTCCCACCTCGACCACCTCGACTACGTCGGCCGCCACGACCTCGGTGGTAATGAGGCTGTTGGGGGTGCTGGGGGTGTTGTGGGTGGTCTTCGCCTATGTACTGATCGTAGGATGGTTCGCGTGGGCGCCTGCGGGATGCCTGTTGCTGTTGGGGAGGTTGGGGGTGGGGCTGATCGGGTGGCGGGATGCCTGGAATCCGCGGGTGAGTGCCAAACTGGAGGTCCAGCGATGACGGGAAGGGGGGCGCTGCAGCTGCCGCAGCAGCAGCAGCAGCTGCTGCTGCTGGGACGGGCGGGGGCGGCGGTGTGATTGGCTCTGGTTTCGGCTTGGGCGGCTCCGATGCACCTGCAGAAAGAGACAGAGGGAGAGAGAGGGAGAGGGTGTCTGTCGTGTCTGTGTTTGCTGTGTGTGCTGACTGACCGTCAAGAGCCCTGATGAGTATGTGTATATCGCTGTCAGGGCTGTCAGCCTGGAAGGGCCACCGCACCTCCAGCTCCCCCTCGTCGACATCGTACGCCACCACACCACCCTCACCCCCTGTGCCAATCATCCACTTCCGCGAATTGGCATTCGCCTCCTCCCTCTTGATCAAGACACCACCCACACTCCTTCCCTGAATTTGCTGCGGATCCACCTCGATCACGTGTGCTGCCCGCCCCCTGTCGGCCATCTGCTGCATAGAGACCTGCCAGAGGACGGTGAAGTGCTCCGTCTTGACCTGGAAGCGACGCTTGAACCATAGCGCGTGGAAGGGGAGGCTGGCGAGCACCTGCTCCTCTGTGCCAGGGGGGTTCTCCCCCGATAGAGGGGCCTCGTCAGCCGTCGCACGGTACAGCCGCCCCACGGTGTTTGCTTCTTCACCGCCCTGCTCCGCCTTCACCCCTCCGTCTGTCTTGACGCTGCCGAATATGGCCCGCTGCTTGAAGGCGTCCGTGTGTGTGGCAAGGATCCGGTAGAGCCGCTTCTTGCCTCTGATGGCGCCCTGTGAGGGCGCATACTGGACGAGCAGCCCGGAGAAGGGCAGCGGGGTGGGGAGTGGCAGCTCGGTGGGCGGCTTCAGGTTGGCAGTCATACGGGCGGACTCGTGTACCGCCATGGCAAGCACGCCGTCGTGGTGGTTAGAGGTGGCGTGGATGTGTGGGTGGGATTGGGCGCCTTTGGACGACTGCAGAGACACACACGAGGACATTTGTGTGTTTTTGTGGATGGATGGATGTGTCCACCGACCTCTGATAGGGCGCTCATGCCAGCAGGTGTTGATGGAGGGCCGTCGGTGCACTCCTCGATCTTCTCCAGGCCGTTCTCATTGTCAACCTCCATCTTGACCACACCACCACCACCACCACCCTCCCCGCCCTTCTCTGCTTTGCCTTGCTCCTGCTCCTGCTCCTTCTTGTGGCGGACGGTGTGTGGGTGTCCGCTCAGAACTTGCTGGTAGAGCTGCGACGACAGCTCCATCGGGATGGTTCGCTTGCGGTGGGTGGGGACATTGATGGTCTGGCCGTTAGCGGGCATCCTCACCTGCACATAAAGAGAGACAGACAGGAACGGGCGGGCGAGTGGTGATGGTATGTATGGTTAGTTGTCAGTCATGGTCGCCTGCGCACGTCTCTCTTGAGGTCGGCTTCGAGCTTCTGTTTGAGATGCAGCATGTTGCTGGCCTCGCCATGCACCAGCACAACGCTGCGGGGGTCCACCTAGACACACACACAAAGACACGGACAGACATCTGTGTGTGTGTGTGGGTGTAGGAGCCCATCCACGACCGCCTGCTCAGGTCACCTGTGTGATGAGCTGCTGGATGCCCCTGCAGTCCGCGTGCGCCGAGAAGGAGAGGTACCGGACCTTCATGTTGACCACCACGCTCCTATCGGCGATCTTGACCTGTTTGGCACCATTGCTGCACACACAGGGGCCGAAAGAGAGGGAGAGACCATCCATCCATCCATTGTGTGTTTGTGGCATACACACGTACATGACTTGGTTGCCGACGGTGCCTGGGGTGCAGTATCCCGGCACGAGCAGCAGATTGCGCTCGTCGGGCGCCCACTTCTCAAATATGGCCAGCGACAGACCCTGTTTGCACCACACATGGATGGATGAGTGGATGGTCATCCATATCATTCCTGTGTGTTTGTGCGCATTGCTGACTGACTCACCGCGTGTAGCATTCCGGGTGTGGCGAAGAGCACACAGGGGTAGTCGGCGCCCGCAACCTACACCCCCCACGCACATGTGACACACATGGATGGATGAATGGATAGATGGATGCGGCATTCATCATTCCGTCATTCATTGTGTCATTCATTGTGTGAGGGTGGTCACGTACCTCCGGTTTGTAGGGTGTGATGTGTGGGTAGTCGAACATGTTGCTCGACATCGGGACGTTCTCGTCGTCGTCGTCCTCGGCATCGCTCTCACCCTCAGGCGAGCCACGCACGTTGCCTTGAAACACACACACACACACACACACAACACACACATATGGACAGACATATACACAGATGGTCACCTACCTTCGGCCATCTGTGCCATTTGTGCCGCCTGCGCCTTGCCGCACTCGGGGGACGCACCCGCACCTACACACACACGTGGATGGATGGATGGATGGACATCCATACAGACCTGCGACGGTGGTGTTGGCGCTGAGGGCGGCCGGGGTGACCCGAACGGTCGTCCAGTTGGCGAACTGGCACACACAAAACACAGCACAGCACAGCACAGCATCCCTCTGTCTCTGTGTGGGCGGCGTAGCGTGTGTGGCAAGACGGGCAACGTACGAGTCTGTAGTAGTGGTTGGCAGTGGTCGACAGCTGCCCGGCAAAGTAGATGGGATGTGTCAGCTCTGACGGATTGCAAATGCAGACACAGTTCTCTCTCTCCCTCCCTCCCTCCCTCTCTGCGTCACTTACGGTTTCTCTGCCAGTATTGCTCCAGGATGAGGCACAGCTCCTGCGCCCGGCCAATCGCAAACACTGGAATCAGCACCTGGTGACGTGCACACACACACACAGAGAGAGAGAGAGAGATCGTATCCATGGCATATGCACACGTGTGTGCAGGCAGTGAGTACCTACCTTCCCGCCGCCATCGAGCGTCTCCCGCACAATCTTGCACATCTCCGTCTCGCTCTTCTTTTTGCTCGCGTGGAAATGCGCGCCATACGTACCTTAACACCCCACCCCAACACACACACACACATGCACATCTTCGTCTATCCATTTGTTTATCCATGGGGATGGCTGGCTGGATGCCCACTCACTCTCCGATATGACGACATCGGGGTTGAGTCGGGGCACCCTTGCCGGGCCCAGGTGCCTGTCGGGGGTCATGCTGTAGTCGCCCGTGTACACCACAGACTCGCCGCCATACTGACAGACACACAGACAAACAGACAGACAGACAGACAGACACTCATACACACACAAAGACAAGAAGATGGGCATGTTTGTGTGTGTTTGTGTGTGGTGTGCGGGTCCCTCCCACCTCCACATGGAACAAGGCCGCCCCCAGCACGTGTCCGGCGTAGTAGGGCGTGACGCGTATGCCGCACGGCAGGGTGGCCGTCTCGTGCACCATCAGCGCACGCACCTTCTCTATCGCCCTCTCAACCTATACACACACACACACACACAGAGAGAGAGAGAGGGGAGGAGTTTGTGTGTGTGTGTGTGTGTGTGTGTACCATTTCCAGCTCGTAGATGGCTTCCCCGTCGTATGAGATGCGTGTGCTGAGGTTGACCATGTCGCGCAGCAGCACGGGACACAGCGCCTTGGTCGGATACGTCATGAAGATGGGACCGGAGTAGCTGACAACATAAGACACACACCACGCCACACACCACGCCACACCACCACACACCTTCGTGTGCCGTGTGGATTGCACACAGGGAAGGAAATCAAGGCTCGCTCACTTGTAGGTCTCGGTCAGCTTGGGCAGCGCCCCGCAGTGGTCCAGGTGGAAGTGGGTCACAATCACCGCATCTAAAATGGACGTCAGGTCAGGCCTGCACATACATACACACACACACACAGGTATGCTCCTCCCTCTCCCCTGTCTGTGTGCCTCTCTGCGCATAGCAAACGCACCGTTTCCCGTCGCTGCTGCCGGTGGCCATGGCCATGGGCATGCCCGGTATCTGGTCGAAGTTCGGGAACTTCTCCTCTTTCGACCGTGCGCCCAGCATCACGCCGCAGTCAAACATCACGCGACGGGGCGGAGAGTGGCCTGTGTTGTTCGTTGCACACACGCAGAGAGAATCACATCACACGAATGAATGGATCTGTGCAGTCGGGGCGGAGATCTGTCTGTCTGCATACGCACCCAGAGTGACGACGACGCAGGAGCGCCCGACCGCCTGGCCGGCGCCCAACACCTTGATCTCAATCCCCATCTCAACTCACCATCAACTCAGCTCACCATTGATATACCTCCTCCCATTTGCGAGCTGAAGTGGCGGAGGATCGTGACTCATCGGTTCGAGGGGAGAGGAGATGCGTGTGAAGGTGTACAGTTCGGTGAGTCGGCACACGGAGATCTGCACGTCCATCGGCTGGTGCCGGGGCGGACGCACAGGCGAGCTTTGGAGCTGCGGAGGTACGCACACAACTCAACTCAACACACACACAGACGGACGAAGGATGGACACAGAGGTGCTTCGCGTCAACGTGTGTGTGTCCGTGTAGATGACAAGGCGTTGTGGAAGTGGAACGCCGACGGCTCGCCCAACGCGAAAATCGCTGATCTGGAGGTAAGTACAGCACATATATATATGGAGGAGGCGCCGCGCGGGTCTGTCTGTCTGTCTGAGTTGTGCCATTCATCATATCATGTGTTGTGTGTGTGTGCAGGTGTACCCAGCGATGCTGCAGTGGGCGCCCAGCGGCGATGTGCTGGCCATAGGTGCGGTGTGCGTGTGCATCTGCATGCGGAGAGGGGATGACGGCCATGCATGCCTATGGCTGTCTGTCTGTGTGTTGTGTGCAGCGTGTACGGAGGGGAGTCTGCGGCTGTATACGCGTGCGGGTAAGGAGGACAAGAAGGTGGAGGCCCACACGGGGGCCGTCATCGCACTGAGGTGGAGCCACGACGGGTCGGCACTCGCTACGGCCGGAGAGGACGGCCTACTCAAGATATGGTCCAGGTCAGACAGACAGACAGACAGACAGACAGACGATCTGCGCCATCCATCCACAGGCAATCAGATATCTGTGTGTCTGTGCGGCTGCGTGCCTGTCTGTCGGCGTGCAGGTCGGGGATGCTTCGTTCGACGTTGCTGCGTCTGCCGGCGTCGATTTATGCGGTGGCGTGGAGCGGCGACAACGAGAAGGTCGCCATCGGCAGCTATCGCAGGTGCCCACACTAGGCAACCAACACGGATACATACCATACTCTGTGTGTGTTGTGTGTTTGTGTTTGTGTGTAGGGTAGTAGTGCAGTCACTGCAGCCAGGCCGTCGGCCGCAGGAGTGGAAGGCACACGAGGGGGTCGTGCTGCAGGTAAGTACTTACTTATCGGCGTACAGGGGGAGGTGTGTGGGCGCATATATGCGTGCATATGTGTGTGTGTGTGTCCACAGGTGGACTGGTCAGCGGTCACGAGTCAGATCCTCAGCGGCGGAGAGGACTGCAAATACAAAATCTGGTACGCACATACAGTCGCTTGCACGTCGGTCGACAAACACACACAGCGTTCGTGTAATTGTGTTGTGTTATGCAGGGACAGCGACGGCCGTCTGCTGTTCACCTCGGCGCCCCTGGAGCAGGTCACCACAAGCCTCGCATGGTCACCTAACGGACGATGGTTTGCGGTAAACACGCTACGCTGCCACACACGCAGAGAGAGAGAGAGAGAGATGCACGTGTGTGTGTGTGTGCCCATACATACCTTCACTCACAGGTGGGATCGTTTGGCGTGATCAAGCTGTGTGACAAGACGGGGTGGTCCTACGCTAGAGAGGCGCTCACTCACAGCGGATCGGTGTTCCAACTCGCATGGTGGGCGCCTTGCGACTCCACATCCCCCCTTCCCCCCCCAGCACACAACTCGATGTATCATTTAATCTGTGCGACATGCATGTGTGTGTGTGGTTGAATGTGATGATGTAGGTCAGAGGACAGCACCGTGCTCGCCGGCGCGTGTGGCAGCGGGCAGGTACCCCATCAGACACACGAGCACCTAGACACACATACTATCCACGTTGATGCGTTCGTTCTTATGTATGTGTCCAGGTGGTCTTTTCCCATCTGAGCGACCGCGTGGTGTCCTGGGCCCACCTGCAGGCTACACTCAAACAAGACAACACCGTCGAAATCAAAGTAAACGAACGGCTGTTGTCGGGCGCGGCGCACGTGTGTATGTGTGTGTGTTCCATGCGCACAGGACACCATCGCCGAGACGACGGACGATTTGGATTTCCGCGACCGGGTCATCGACATGTCAGTCGGCCACGGAGCCCTCATCGTCACGACGGCCACACAGTGCTCCATCCACCAGGTATGGAGTACACACAAAGCAAAGCAAATGGCCTTCTCTACACGTGTGTGTGTGTGTGTGTGTGTAGTCGCCGCACTGGTCGCCGCCACACGTGTTTGACCTGAAGGACCTGCCGCTGTTGGTGCTGCAGTCCCCGTACCACTTCTGCATCGTTGACAGAGATGGCATACATGTACCCAACACACCATTTATCCATCCATCCATCGGGGTGTGTGTGTGAGACAGCTGTACACGTACGAGGGCCGGTTGCTGAGCACGGTCAAGTACAAGGGCCTCCGCACCGACGTCCTCAACCCCCTCACACTCTCCATCGCACGTGACGCCGTCTGCATGGTGGGCATTCCCTCTCCAGACACACTCACAGAGAGAGAACCTGTCTGTTGTGTGTTGCTGGACTGGATTTGTGTCGTAGGTAGACGCCTCCACGCCCAAGTGTGTGCGGGTGTTTGACGTGCAGTCGGGCAGACCGCTGGGGCAGCCAATCGAACACAAGATTGACATCATCCAGGCAGGAAGGAAGGCACCTCACCTCGGGCAGCTCAGCTCCCTCCTTACCTACCGCCCAACACACACACACACGTGTCCATGCCGCCTGTATGTATGTGTGTGCAGGTGGCCGTGAACCAGCACGGGAGCGGTGCCGACCGCCGTGTGGCCATCCTAGACAAAAACAAGGACCTCTACATCACACCCGCACACCGCACACAGTGGTTCGTGCCCACACAGAGAGACAGAGAGAGAGAGAGAGAGAGAGAGAAACCAAGGACACACAGATCTCACATCAGGGGGGTTCGTGTGGTTGTGTTGTGTGTAGGGTAAAGTTGTCGTCGATGGTAGACACGTTCATGTGGCACGACCTGACCGACATGATGGTGGCGATATGTGGCGGCGGGGACAACAGCATGCACTGCTGGTTCTACCCGGCCGCAGTCTTCGTCGACCAGGACCTGCTGCCGCACACTATGGTCAGGCTGACACAGCCATGGATGCGTGTGTGGGGGGGATATGTGTGTGTGTGTGTGTGTGTGCAGACGACAAAGGAGGCGATAGGGTGCGGCAAGATGTGTCAGCTGGTGTCCTTTTCGGGCTCCCACTGCACCATCAGACGAAGGTACACAGACAGACCACGCCCAAACCCCTGATACCCACATGCAGCTGAGTTCCTGTGGTTGTGTGTTGGGTGCAGCGACGGTGCGTATCAGGCGTTGTCTGTCTCGCCCTACCCCCAGCTGCTCTACCAACAAGTCGAGAAGGGGCAATGGTACACGACAGACACCCCCAACGCATCCCCAACACCCACACCCCCGAATGCACCAAGTACATGTGTGTGTAGGGACAAGGCGATCCGCGTGTGTCGATTCGTCAAGTCGCCACCCCTCTGGGCGGCACTCGCAGCCATGGCCCTGCACGCACGGTAGGCGGGCCACGTGGGGATACCGACCTACCGATGCACTCACTGCACACAACGGACGCACTCATCCATTTTGTCTGTCTTCGATGCAGAGAGCTGACAACTGCCGAGATCGCCCTCGCGAGCATCGACGAGGTGGCTAAGGTACGCACTCACGCACTCGTCTGGACGTGGTGGACGGTGGATAGTGGATGGACGGTGTGTACGCCACGCCCAGGTGCACTTCATCACGTCGCTCAACGAGCTGGCGGACGACACCGTCCGGGCGGCTGAACTCGCGGTGCGTGTGGGCAGGGCACAGGGGACCGACATCCATCTATCCACACGTGAGGGAGTGTATGTGATGTGGTTGTGTAGTTGTTTTGCAAGCGTCCCGAGGAGGCGTTGGGTTTGCTGCTGCAGCAGGGCAAGGTCTACCGCGCCATCGACATGAACATCCGCCTGCAGAGATGGGAGGTGAATGAGCACACCAACGCACTGCACCCCAAAGCACCCCTCAACCCAGGCACACACGCACCCATGTGTGTCTGTGTGTGTCTGTGTGTGTCTGTGTGTGTCTGTGTGTGTCTGTGGATGAATGGCCACACTAGGCTGCGTTAGATTTGGCCCAGAAGCACAAGGGCTACGTGGACGTAGTGCTGTCGATGCGGCACAAGTTCCTGCAGGACATGAACTACGACGAGACCAACCCCAAGTTCATCAAGGCCACCAAGGTACCGACACAACAGAACAGAACAGAACAGAACCACTCTCCCCTCTGCACACACACAATGTTCATGTGTGTGTGTGTGTGTGTGTCTGTGTTTGTGGGCTGGTTGCGTGCTTGCAGGAGGTGTCAGTGGATCACGCTGCTGTTGCGGCCAAGATAGCAGCGGAAGAGGAGAAGGACAGGCGGCAGGCGGAGGGCAATTAACTGACCGACCGACCGATAGATAGAAGCGTCGATCCGTTCGTTCGTTCGTTCGAACTGTGTATACGTGTCTATGTATGTGTATCCGTTTGTCTGTCGGCCTGCCCGTCTGCCCGTCGGTCGGTCTGTATGTGTCTGTTGATATATAGGCGATGGGTGTGCGTACGAGTGTGCTTGCGTTGCGTAGCGTGGACAGACCAGACCAGACCGTCTGTCCGTCAGTCAGTCAGTCACATCACAGAACCATTCATGCGCACAGGCCATGAACGAAGGTCACATCACGCACACACCCCACACACAGTGTGAATCACACTGACTGCTTCAAACACCACCACCACCACCACACACGCGCAGACACACGCACGTCCGTCTGTCTGCCGGTGGTCTGTCTGTCTATCGGTTGGCCTTGGCGACCCGCTCGATCTCGTCCTTCTTCTTGATGGCGTAGCTGTTGGAGCTCTCCTTGGCGCAGTTGATGATCTCGTCAGCCAGGCACTCGGCAATCGTTTTGATGTTGCGGAACGCACTCTGACGCGCGCCTGCACGCACAGAGGTCACACAGAGGGGGAGGGAGATACAGAGGTGACAGAAGGGTGGGTGGCTGTGGGTACCTACCGTAGCAGATGAGGTAGATGGCCTGGTTGACACGTCTGAGTGGCGACACGTCCACGGCCTGCCGCCGCACCACACCGGCCGAACCGATACGCGTCGAATCCTCGCGCGGACCGCCGTTCTTGACAGCCTCGACCAACACCTACAGCCACCACACAAGAGAGAGGGGTGCTGATCTGACTGATCTGATGTGCGTCTTCTGGCGTCTGTGTGGGTGTGACTGACTGACCTGCACGGGGTTCTTGTCAGTGAGAAGGTGGATGATCTCGAAGGCGTGCTTGACGATCCGGACGGCCATGGCCTTCTTGCCGTTGTTGCGTCCGTGCATCATCATGGAGCACACGAGGCGCTCGACGATGGGGCACTGGGCCTTCCTGAAGCGGCGGGACTGCCATCGGCCGGCCGTGTGGGGCAGGTACACCGAGGCCCTGTCCTTGTAGCTGATGTAGTCCACCAAGGAGAGGTCGGACGTGTTGACGTCCAGGTAGCTCCACTTGCCGAACAGGCGAACGTCCGCCATGATGACACTGACTGACACAACCCGACAGACAACCACACACGCAGATCTGTCACTGTACGGCCGTCTGAGGGCTTGTCTGTCCGACCTGGCTTCCTTCTTGCTTCCTGAGTGCGTGTGTGCCCACCTGCAAGGCCTCTGTGGCGCTCCTTCCGTGTGCGAGCTTAGAGTGGCAAACCTCTTCAAGCTCGCAAATACCGATACCAACTCCTCCCGGAAACGCCCTTCAGAGGTCAGACGGCTTCGAGAGCAAGCACTGCCTTACATCCCTTATCGACACCAGCTTCCAGGGCGAAAGGATCTGAAGATCAGATCCTCCAAGAGCTGAGCGGTCCGAAACGGTTTCCCTGTGACGCCTCGCAACTTCCTTGGTAAGCAACAGCAATCGCTTTAGCCCACTCACCAAGCCATCCTTCCCGTGCGACCGTGTGTGTGTGTGTGTGACCTCGCACAACCGGCAGACAGACATATAATGGGAAATGAGTTGGCGACGATGCTGCTGGGAGGTACGTTGGAGCTGGACGGGATGCATGGAAGCAACACGACAACTCCTCTTTTTCGCTGGTGTGTGTCAGAAGAGTCAGTACATTGGTCGGTCCATCCGACCACCCCTGCTCGCGCCGCCACCTGTGAGCTTCTTGAAGGCCTCCATCAGGGCAGGCTCAAGCTGCGGAGGGCCATCCGGCTGCTCGACAAGGGCGTCGACGCCAGACACTTGGTGAAATACGATGAAAGGTACTACAACCTCATCCAGCTGGCCATCAGGCATCATCTGAGGCCTGACACGGTGCGTATCGTGCGGTTGCTCATCCAGAGAGGGTACAAGTAACGCCACACACAGAGGGAGAGGGAGGGGGAGGGGGAGGGAGGCCATCCGGCTTCATTCGCCCGCGCTCTGTGTGTGTGTGTGTCCTGGGTAGGGCGGACGTCAACTTCGTCGATACCCGCCACGGCACTGCCTCCCCAATCGCAATGGCTCTCCTGTATGGCCGTTATGACGTCGCCCACCTGCTACTCGACTATCCCCGACTGGACCTTACGACAGCCTACTTAGTCCGGTGGCTTTTGTGCCATGTGGCGTCTGATGCAAGGGATGGAAGCGTGTCATCTGCTGAGAAGGTCGCTATGGCCAAAAGACTCGTGCGACGCGGAGGAGTGCGGCTGATTACTCACGGCAATGGCTTGCACGCCTTCTGTCAGTAGCCCCTTCCCAACCCCTCTCGTCAGCTGCAGCTGATGACTTATTTGATCCACAAGGCCGGACGGCATATCGTTGACAAAACGGACGCAAAGCACCACACCCCACTCTATTATGCGGCTCGTAGTGGGTGCTCTCCTGATGTTCTCCGTTTACTGCTGCGTAACGGGGCGTCGATTCTGGGTGCGCAACATAATCGCCTTCATCGCATGAAGAAGAGGCAAAGGCTGTCGGCCTACTGTTGCTACCTGCGTGACGACCTGCCAACTCAAGTCAGCATCGCAGTGAAGACAGCCCTCATCATGCCCTTCCGGGCAACGGCGACTGCGAGCCTTCCCGCTGAGGTCTTTGATTACATCCAGGCGTTCATTGGGGTTCCGACGCCTCCCACAGTGTCGCTTCCCATCAGCCAGCAGCTGCCCTTCGGCCGCTGCATCAATCAGATGGTCAACAGCTACTTATCATCGGCCTACCAGAGCATTCGAGAAACCGGCACAATGGAGGCATGTGGGCTTGGCGATCTATTGGATCAGGTGCGTCAGAAAGCAATGGAGGAGGGAAGGCGACTCGGTATTAATGTGATGTCAGCCGACAAGTAAGTTTTATCTATCAAGAAGAGAGACGTTGATATCCCTTGATGGCATCATTGTTGTGTGTGGTGTGATTCAGGGTTAAGTCACATGGGTGGGCTTTACGTTTCTGCGCGCACGTGCCTGCAAGCGACTGATGCGAAAGGAGGGAGAAGGCGCAAGGGGGAGGAAGAGATGAAGGGGCATGGAATGGATGGATGGATGGATAGATGACATGGTGCGGTAGACATCGGTAGACATTGTTGTGTTAGTGATAGCTTGTTGGCCAATGGACTCCACTGTCTCTCGTCTCTGTCAATTAGTGTAATTAGTGTATGTGTGGTGCCGAGAGGCACATCAAGAGACGCCTAAACTACCCTAAAGATCATCGTTGTTCGTACCTGCGAGCTTATGTTGCAGATCTGTCCCTCCTTCCTTTTCTTCCCCGCAGCGAACACGCATCACGCATGGCATGTGTACACACCTGATCGCCCTTTTTATCGCCATGACGGCAGATCTGCTGCAGCAGCCAGTCCATTCCTGTCGCCCGCATTATGATGGCAAAGCCATCAACGGGAGGAGGAGAGATGCATTCCTGCCTCACCCCGTGCGGCCTTTGGTCGAGCTTCGTCCGCTCACACGACTTGGTGCCTCGTCCGAGCAGCCTCAAACTCAGAAGCTTGCTCTGCTCAGGCTTGAGGCGGCGAGGCTCAGAAGACACCTGGTGGAACTGGAGGCTAACAGGACGTCAGACGTCGCCAAAACAGAGGAGGTACGTGTGTGAGCAATTCATGGATACACACAGAGGGGACATTCATCCATCGAGGGAGGCATCTTCGTCTGTGTCACCGTTTGTGCGTGCGTGTGCAGGTTCGCCTGGCGCTTGAGAGGTTGGAAGCTGACGACCCTATGTGGCAGTACTGGGTGGCAAGACGGCGCATGAAGGACACGGCCATGCGAGGCGCATTTCAGGAAGCTGCCATAAACCGGGACAAAGCCAAGGCGGTACGCTCACACACACATACACCAGCAGAGCCTGACACCTCTACTAACTCACCCAGCTACGTCGTTCATTCGCCTGCATGTGTCTGTGAATACATTATAGGCAAAGAAAGCACTCCCTCAGTACCAGTTGTCTGGTTTATGGGTCGCTGATTATGAGGGGAACAGTGCGTCTAGACGCCTGCAGCTCATCAAGATGGCCTACGAGGACGACGACACACTTGTGGCAAGGAAGGTCATCGGCGATATGCATGTTCCAGAGGGACAGGTGAGCAACACATTCACACACAGTGCATTCCTCTCTGTTTTTCCTTTTTTATGTAGGTGACTTTCCGTGTTGACGTCTCTCAACTGCCATCGCTAAATCCGCTGTCCATTCCCGGGCAGTCTGTGGGCACTTACGTTGAAGCGCTGGAGGGAGAAGGGCAAGTGGCTGATCCTGGGCACGCCAACGCGCACTTTGTGGCTGGGCGGCTGATTCTACTTGGCGAGAGGACCATCGCCTTCGGGTGGGTGGGCGGAGGTGTAGATAGATGGGTGGTCTTCGAGCGCTTGAACGATGAGCTGTTGAGCGAGATATTGCGGCAACACAGGCGGCTTCACATGACTGGCGAATAAGTGGGAGGGTGTTGTGTGTGTTCGATGGATAGCAAGATACGGGGGCGGGTGACATTGTGATAAAGAGAGATGGGTGCATACAAACACTATCACATATATGTCACTCACAGCTGAACGACCACCGATCACACCTGCATTCATTACCTTGCCACGGAGAGAACCAAAGACTTGTTCCCCACAGCACCCCTTTTTGACATCTCCATCTCTTTCTCTCTCTCTGTGTGTGTGTCACGCCCCCCCCCCCTCTCTCTTTTGTGGTCATCCATCGATGATGAATGATAGTAAAAAGTAATCAATTAATCCACACACACTGAGAGACGAGATAGACACAGAGCACATCCATTCACGCTCTGCATGTGTGTGTGTCCCTCAGTGCCTGCAGGCCTATCACGGTAAGCGTCTCCGCCACCCCTTCATCGTCGACAGCGAAGTCATACATGTCGACAGAGAGAGGGAGGGGGGAAGACGGGGGTAACTAAGAGTCCATTCATCCTTCCATGTGTGTGTAGGTATTGTGAAGATCACCCCAGCCCACGACAAGTGCGTCAAGTGTGTGTGCGTGTGTGTGCGTTTGGAGTTCATTACGATCATCGACGAGAAGGGCTACATGAAGGAAAATGCCAGACCCTTCGAAGTACGTACACACACGCACGACGGGCACACATACGGACCGAGAGAAAGAGAGAGAGAGAGGGATGGATGCTGTCACGCTTGAATGACTGTACACAGGACCAGCACCGGTTTGAGTGTCGATTCAACATCCAGCAAGAGCTGCAAAAACTGGTGCGTACGTCTCACTCATATATGCATCCACACGTACATACATACAGACATACATACGTGTGTGAAATGCATGCACACACAGGGTGTTTTGCGCGGCAAGACGCCCAGCCCGATGCGTCTGGGCATGTGCTCACACACACATGCACACACACACACACACACACACATCCCCCCCACACCCCAAAGACACACACATTCACGTGTATGTGTCGTGTTTCGTCTTGTGTGTGTCCACGTGTGTGTATTGCGGCGCCGATGCGCTCACATACGGCCTGCTTGCATACACCAAACAAGGTGGGTCGGTGGGTGCATCAATGTGTGTGCCAGATTGGTCCGTCAGCCTGGACATCAACCGTGTGGTTGGGTACCGCAGTAAGCAATCTAGCCAACCCCACTCTCTCTCTGTGTGTGTGTGTGCACAGAGAGGGAGCCATTCAAACAATCATCGGGTACATGGATGTGTGCCGTGCCTTCTCTGTGTGTGCGTAGGGGGTATAGATTCAGACGATGGTCTGGATGTGTGCGATGCCGACGACGGCAGCGGCGATAATGGGCGTGACGATATAAACGACGCCAGCGATGGGAGCGGCGAAGGTAGTAACAGATTTGTGACAGAGGTTTAGGGTCTAGGGCTGTAGGGTTCAGGGTTTAGGGGTCAGGGTTCAGGGGTCAGGGGTCAGGGGTCAGGGGTCAGGGGTCAGGGGTCAGGGGTCAGGGGTC